GTGCTGTCTAATTAGCCAAAAGCAACTTTTTCCTTAGATCTCTCTGGAGGATCATGATTTCATTTAAAGCAACAGAAAATACTGGCCAACAGCGCTCCAAAGGGAACTGCTGTCCCTTTCCCTCATGAGCATCTCTGTTCACAACAGCTTCAGAAACAGCTGGAACAGACAGGGCTGAGCTGCTGTATGCTTTGCACACACCCTCCCTTAGCAAGGGTGGTCCAATCCCTTAGCTTCCGCTTAGAACCAAACTCTACAACAGTCTTCAACTACTCTTTTCTTCTGTAAAAGAACATGCTAAAAAGTTTATTAAGTATGTTGATTCTTGTATATACCAAAATCAACAGCCCTACAAGGTCATCTTCAGGTTCAAATTTCACTGCAGAACAGGTATATTACATCACCCAGTTCTAAATCACAGGTTGTCAATACATAAGCACAATTTGTCTAAATCCAATTTGCTTTTCAAACCTGCAATACCGTAAGCACAAAATGACCACCACAGAAAGAGTTTGATTTTCCATTTATGGTTTTCTAAGACATCTTTTTTTTTTCGCCAGTAAAAGAATATGAAAACTTCAGAGAAAATACACTGATCTAAAGTAGATACACTGTGCCTAATGTTTTAGGCACAAAGGAAAACAGTTATCTGAAAGTCTTACACGTTGGGACTTGTTCTCCCAAATAAGCCAGGGTATGTACGATTAACTTCATTTTTTTTTTAATCAGACTTTATTACTGGTTCCCATTACCCTTTTCTGAAATTCAATAAATTTGAAATAGTTTTCAAAACACTCGACATAAAGGGCACTCATAAAATCACATAATACTCCATTAAATCTTGTTTACTTCTTAAATGAAAATCAATAAGATGAATATTTATTAAGCTGGTTAGGTTAGGGGTATGGTTTTATGTTTTTAGTTTTTTAGAGCTATGTATAACCAAGTAATTATTCAGTAAAACCTAGATTTTTCAGTCTCATGTCTGCCAATGCTACTGAAGCTTGAGAGCATCAAATGTAGCGCTTCTGAGAAAGGTTTTTTTGGCAACAAAGAAATATAGAGTTCTAATACTTAAAAGAGCAACTATGAATCATGGTAATTAATAACTGAAGAACTTATGTAACTAGACTTCAACAATCAGTTTCTAGGTTAAGAATATTTTCCATTCATTTACATTTTGTTTTTAATGGAATCCGAGATGAGCTGCGACATTTTGGGGTCTCCTGAATCAGTCTGTGATGGCTTCTAAAGTGCCTTTTAAGACCAGTTTACCATAGAGATAGTGAAGACTGTAGATTGTAAGCTTGCAACGGACCAGAATTCCCTGCAGATTTGCAAATCGCTGTTGCACACCCAGCCCCAGCTCTTGCAGACATAACACACGGGTCCATGCTGGTACACAGTGTAACATTTCAGGCATCTCCACTCTTGAAGCAGGGTCTTGTACAGGCTTGTGGGTCCTTATATTGCATTTCAGAACAACAAAAGGGTTTTGCATGCTTATGCACTGTCACGGTAAGAGTCCATGTCCCTTTTGCAACGAACATGCCAAAAACGTTTGCTCACATTTCTCTCTTACATCCTCCTCTCCATCATCTATTACAACACACTTAATTCTCCTCTTCTTAGGGAGTCTCCATGAATCTGATCCTTACCTTTCAGAAACAATCGCATAAATAAGAGATAGATGCAGACAATAAGCAAGCAAGGAAGATAACACATCAATAAAACAATGTGCTATAAAAAGACAACATACTCCTTCGGGAAGGGGGAATATTTTTTGGCATGCATTTGTATAGCATCTAGCTCAGTGGAGCCCTTTCCTAGAACATGCTACAGTACTTAGATTCGCAGCAAAAAATACATTTGCATACAAGTTCAAATCCTTCCTGTGCTGGACCCAGAAAGGTGTCCTACTGAGTTTCAGCTTTAGGAACAATTAAATTTCTTGTAGAACTCAAAGTCACAGTGGGTGTCTGCCAGAGGTCAATATGTTGAGAGGAAAGAGCCTGTAAACAACTCAGAGGAACTGTAAGACAACTGTCAGCCTCAGCTGAAAAAAAGAGAAGCTGGCATCACAAAATATGAGGGAATAAGATGCGCAAAAAAAAAAAATCGTAACACAGAAACAAGAGGGATTGAGAATTGCTCAGTGTCATTAGCGCATGGAAATTTGAATTTGATGCCAAGAAGAAGACAGAGAAAATGGAGAGGTTCAAAGAACAGGAAATGATAATGAGACATTAATAAAGATGATTAAATGCTCCCCTGCAGCCTAAAGTGTCACTACTGAATTCTTCCCTTCTCCTCACCCACTATTCTTCCACTTTCACATACACATAATTTTCCTTACAGACCTCTCACCCTGGTGCCTTTTTTGCTGTGTCACCCTACAATCCCCAGGAACAGGCTCCTGCTTCACTATGGTGAAACTTGTGCTACAAAGCTCTGCTCTTTGACCCTCAGCTGGGGCAGAAAACCAGCAGCTCCTCCTTCCCCCAGCTGCCAAATTCCACAAGTTGCTGAGAGCAAGGAAGGCAAATGGCTTGTTATTTCTTCTCCCTTCTCCTTCAGCCCTTTCAGGACAACAGATCGCCCACGGAAAGAGATCGACTTCAAGACAAAGAACCACGCCTTTGATCACACATGCTTCTTTCGTGGAGATCAAGCACAGGGTTGGAAAAGGGACTTTTCACGTGGTGAACACCCTCCAAATGCACACAGTGCTATTTGTTGTGCAGTGCACTGCTAAACACAAACTACTACTACATTTTACTACATACTACTACATTACCGTACTTAATACTACAGCCTTGGACTCAGAACAGGATTATGCTAGTATCCTACGGGTTTATGGATTCCTGATCAACTAGCATGCTAATCGAGCCTGAAGATTTATGACAGATAGTTCCTCTTCATTACTATTTGGCTTTGTAAAAGCAGCACCCCACAACCACACACAGTTCATTACAGCTTGACACCAGTGAAGCAAACCGGAGAGGAAGACATATGACAGCATACAGACTGTTACTGTTTTATCTGCATATATGGCACATCTGTATATGGCTGCAGACAAGCTTCACTGTATCTACAAACAAACTGTATCATATAAGAGCTGTACTTTTTACTACTACACTTCAAAGCCTGGAGTGTATACCAGCATCTGCCAAACTACTCACTGTCAGGATTTCACCCCAGAATCCAAAAGCAAATGTTTTAGATGGGAAGACATTTGGACGCTTATCCTTCAGCCAAACCATTTTTGTCATTTGTAAGAGCCTAGTCTTCTGACATGTTGGTTAGAACTCTTCTTTGCAGGCCATCCCCATGAGAAAGAGATTTTTCATGAGGATCCAGTATCAGATGATGGAAAGGTGTGGGCAGTGAGCCTAGCCATTATTCCTGTTCTTTAATTCGAGAGCTGAAATAACCAAGTTGAACAACATCCAAAAATAAATAACACAGGTAATAAGTTTATAACTACTGATACTCTATGTCAAAGTCAGTCAAATCATGATTGCTGAACTAAGCCTCCATGCTTTAACTGGTGCATGTGTTAACAAGCACTGTACTTTTATAGTTCCTGCCATTAAAAACAAATGCATAATTTCTTAACATAGCTAAAAATATTAACCACCTAAAAAGTGTGGTTCAGTAAACTAAACCATCCCATCTGCAACAAGTAAAGTAAGTTTCTGAAGCTTCTGCCGAAACAAGGCCTTTTTAATGTACATTTATATGTATTTTTTTATTAAATGCAAGAAAGCATTAGGTAGAAGGTGACAAGTAGGCTGTGTAGTAGTTTTCTTGGAGTCTGCTTACATAATGCTGTAAGATCATACAATTTCTCAACACAAATGCAGTTAGCATCATACAACTCTGCAATCCACAGCTGCCACATCACAAGCATTTCCAGGCCAAGACCTTCACTAGCAATTGTGAGTGCTTAGCACACTGGATTTTTTGTTAGGAGAAGTGAAATCACAGCAGATTGAGAAAACCCGTACTTCAGCCAATCCTAAAAATGTGAAGCGTGCACTATTTCCCACACCATAGGGCTAACCTGCCATAGCGCTGGGCTGCTGACATGACCTTAATGCCAGCTTGTTCAAGTCTTCTTAACTTTCTGATCTCTTCTGCATCTTTGCCCTTGGGTGCTGATGTTTCTTTAGTGCTACAGAAAGGAGACTGGTCTATGGAGTTCCCTTCATTTTGATTCAAACCTACTTGATTTTTAAAGGAGCTTGCCTCAGGAGCCATGGAGCCCACATTCTCCGTTTCACACAGTCCTGATGTTTCATTCTGTTCTTCTTCTATGATTTCAGGGTGGGGTTTGCTATTGAATTATACAAGGTCATTTAATGTATGCTGTGCCTGAAACACTTATTATAAGCATATTTTGATCATATTAAGATGCCAAAGGATATTCTGATGAATGATCTGAGAAGATAATTATGCTCTTTAATGGAAGCTGCTTAGGCCAAATCGAAAGTGAAATATCAGTTGACAAAACCCGCATGCAGAAAAAAATAGTCACAGCTATATAAACTGTATTGTAGTGGCATATAGAATACAACATACAAATAAGTTGATCTAAAAAAAACACAGCAAAAATGTTACCTATTTTGACTGAATACATCAAACTTCACTTATAATTTGTCAGTAACTGTCTTGAGAACTGAGACAGATCATCCAGAACATTTTTATCCAGCCTTGGGTTTGAGTCAACACCCATATTAACCAACATCTTGACAAACACAAACTATACATTGCATTGTATGGTAAATAATGACATCAAGACAATGATTTTCCACTCATTACTTTTCTACCACCTTTCTCAATTGTTACAAATAAGTTATCAGTACCATCTCAGCAAGAGATTTACTACAGCAGAAGGTGCTTTGTACATCTTATGAAAAAGAATGAAAATTAGGCAAGTGTTAAAGCATCAAAGCATCATCACTGAGGAAGGGAGATGCTGGGCAGGACAGTCTTACCTGAAAGGTCTGTCTCCCAGAGGTGAAGTCGCTGTGCTCCAGCTCTTTCGGTACTCTTCTCGTTCAGCTTTCTTTTTCCGAAGTGGAGCGGGTACATAGAAAGTCTGATTACTCTTGTTAGGGAGGTACTGGTTAAAAGGCACAGCTGATTTAGGTTCACCGTGTGAGGTCCGCCTCGCCAACATATCATCTTTTTTCACATCTGGCATCTTTCTGTGTGGCAGGTCAGTTTCTGAGTCACTTCCTCTCCCTAGTGAGGAAAGAGAAAAAAAAATCCCTCTTCTTTTCACTTTCATCCATTTTTTTTATTTAATTACAAATCAGAGAAGACACCACCAAAAAATTACATTTAGCATGTGAGCACCAAATAATTAGGTTACTTTTATCTGTATTTAAAAATCAGCCACTGAAGGTAGTAGCCATAATACCTACACAGATAGTAAACATTTTTCTCCCATCAACCCTTATTTTCTACCCCTGAAAAACTAATCTTCAGCCACAGATCACATAAAAAAATGCAGGATCAGATTAAGCCAGACTGGTCAATCACACAGGAAGCTACAGAAGCTTGCCTGACTAAAACCCAAATGGCTCCTAGTTGTACATACGGGTACATTTCACTCTCTTGAACCTAGACTTAGATGTGCATAGCACAAGCTCAAGGAAAAAAAAAAGGCTGCATACTGTATATTTACACAATGGCAGGAATTTGCGGATGTTTCTACACACACATATTAATGGCAATTTGAATGCACACAGCATCAGTTTTGATCAAAATCTGAGAATAAGCATCAGCTGCTATAAACAAGACGACTCAGATGGTCTCCCTCCAGCCGTATCAGTAGCCTGGTCAATTGGTCTAGCACACTGCAAAACAGACAGAGACTTGATCCTCAGATGGGAAGGTGCAAGGAGAGACGGAGGGGATCTCAGGATTCAGAGGTCAGATCAGTGCAACAAAGACTGAAGAATACTTGCTGGCAAAGAGAAGAAATAAGGTGAGAAAGAAAAATTGAGAGTTACAGAGAATAACTATGAATAAGATGGGAGATCAACAGAGCTGAGCGACTATTTTGTTCAAATGAACTAAGCTTCCTGATATTTACAACCCATCTAAAACACACAAACTTAGGCAAGACTTTTCCAACTTGAAAACAAAACTTCCAAATGGTAGGACAAATACCTTAAAGAGCATTTGCAATGGAACCCTCATAGCCATTTTGGAAGCCGCTTCACAGACATTCACTAGATTCCCTGCAGCATCATGAGCCTTTTTAAGTAATTAACAAAGAAGCTATGTAAATAGTTCTCTCTTAGCAGTGTAACATCACCACAGGCCCTGGTTTGATGAGTGAAATGGAGCATATTCAGCCATTTCTTCCACCAGCATTCGAATCTTGTCCCAGCTTTGGAGCACTGGATGTCTCTGGCCGTTGGCCCCTCTGCTACACTTGCATGTGCAATAGCTGTTCCCCTCTTTCAGGTGAGGGGAAGCCACCCAGGTTGTGTCCTCTTGTTAATTCACCATGCTAGTAAATTACTAGCTAATTCACTGAGCTACCTAATGAACAACTGGAAACAATGAAGTCATAAAAATCACAAGTAGCTTGTGTATAATTCAAAGTGGGGGAAGGAAAAGAGGTCTAAATATGCTAGGAATGTTATTTGCAAAAAGCTTTTGCAGCAGATTGAGTTATTCAATGTTTGCTTGGAGAGAGACGAACAGTGAAAGGAAACAGTAAGAAAAGTCAAGACACAATGGAAATGAGCTAGTTAGACAAAAATCACAATGCACTTTTTGTCAGTAATATTTTGCTTGAATAATTTTGTTTAAGAGCATATGATAACTAGCACGACGATTGGCAACCTGGGTCTATGTCTAAATAAAAAGAGGAGACACAATCATAGAATCACGTGTGTCTGACAATGGCTGAGGTTTGAAGAGCTGTAATGTCAGTAGACTGAGCAGGTCCCCAGAGGAGCTAGAAGAAAATGAAAGGTCCCCTACTGCTATTTGCTGTTCTGTTTGCTCTTGACTTAGTTCTGGTGTTTATATCACATGAAAACCAGTCTTGAACCAGCAGACAGAAATGCTGGAACAGATAACACCAGTAGCAGAGGAATTAGATTCTTCTCCCTTATTACTGAGGTCCCTACCAGCATCCCCAAGTTGAGTACTTCAAAGACAAACAGTTTCCTTAATTATTCAATTATTTATTAGTTACTTATTAATATTTTACTCGTGAAATTATTTTCAGCTCAAATTTGCAAGAAAAGCACTTGAAGCCAAAGCACCAAATACAAGATGCAGCTGTGCTCAACATTTACAACCTCAACTTTCTTGTTCTGCACTTCCAAATAGAAGCAGCAGCAGCCAGTTTCCGCAACCCATAACAAGCAGTTATATCCATGGACACACACAGATCCTTTGTACAAGGATCCATGCACAACTGCTGGCCAAGCAGAGGGTTTTATTCATGCCTGAGCACATCAGAAACTCTACAGGCAGGTCAGTCTGCAATTCTACAGTGTTTTAAACAAACTGTTCTGCTCTACCACTGGTTTTGTTTGGTTTTTGCCAAGGGACAGAATCTGCACAGGACACCAGAGCAGTTCCTGTAAACAGCAGAACTGATCAGAAATTACATTAATGAAGGTAGTATTATTGCTTCCACCTAAACTAACCATCACCTTAGGATCACTTACATGATCTCCATTCATTTAATTTTTTTTTTCTAGGAGTGGAAGGAATCAGTCTTATTTCGCTATCATATTATTTGGTTTACAAAGCTCCTACCTGAATGGAGAGAGAAACAATGCAAGCAGACCTTTTCCTCCATCCAGCTTTCCACTTATGTTACCAAAAACTACACACAGCTGAGTGAAACACTGGCCTGCTGGGGCCACAGGAAGAGCTTTGACAGAAAAGAGGTCAGCCAAGTCTCACCTCACCTGCAGCTCTTGGAGGAGAGAGCTGTGAAGTTATGGCAGCAGCAAGCAGGGAAAATGGGACACATTGGAAAGGGCTGGCTGGACAAGTCGTAGGCGTGTATGCAGCATCTGCATGCACCCTGGGTCTGGATATTATTAAAGATTACTTTTTAAGAACAAGCTTTGTATGCTTGCAGCTTATTTTGTGTTTGTTGTGGACTCAAGAATGTGACAAGATAGTATGTCTTAGCTGTGGCAAACAAGCAACTATAAAACCTTACTAAAATTTGCTAGTACAGCAGAAGCTGATAGGAAGCAGCTATAGGACGTATGTAACTGGCTGCCCACCAGCTCCATGTGGGCAGGGACACTGGACACTCCTTGAGCATTCAGGATGGAGCAACAAGGACATGTGAGGTGTTCCTATTTGCCAACACCACACTTCTGTCTCATTTGGGAAGACAGAAAAATGTTTTGCAATGTGGAGACTTGCTCTGTTCAGTGTCTGAGGGGTCATGAGGCTGTTCCAGGGAATCAGCCCCAGTAGCTGTTTCTGGATGGTCAACAGCCCCAATACCACAGGCCACTCAAAACAGCAGAGCAGATCTTAGCCCTGCTTTCCCCAGAGCTCTTTCATAATTCAGCTGTGATACCACCTCTCCCTGCCAGCTGTTCAGTTTTAAGGAGTCCCCCATCACCTCAGGAAATCTCTCATGCGTCCAGTTATGATTACAACCAGTTTCTTTCACACTGCCAAAAGCAGTATGAACATCTGGTTCCTTCCAAAAAGTCTTTCTGTCCTTCTTTTTTTTTTTTTTTTTATTAAAGAAATAACATTACTAAGGAGAAGTGATTCATGTGTGGAACATAACTTTACCTGATGATGAAGTTTGACTGATTCATCCATTCATTGGGAACATAACTCTGCAGTCGGAGCCTCAGATCAAGCATCCTTTTGTTCTGAATCAGAATCCTGCTCACAACAGGTAACTTAAGTTCATGTTCCACACCTACCCCTAGCAAATCCTTCCTCATCCAGTATGCTGTGTTTACAAGCCTCTGGGAATCAGAGAAGAAATGCAGAGAAGCAGCACCCCTTCTGTAAGCCTAGAGCTTCATGTCCTCACTCAAAGGTTTACAAAGATGGCCACAGCTCTGATGCTGGGAGCCATTAATTTACCCAATTTTCTAAATATGATAAAAACAAACATGACATTAGGTAAAATGTTGTACATTAGATTTCAAAACTCTGTCAAGTATCAGACACCTGCAAGATGTTTCTGTGTCATTTATCTGCCCAGGGTTTACTTAGGCAAACATTTTATTCACTTCAGTATTTCCCTTGTTCCTGCATTTTTATTCCAGTCTAGTTTATAACTTAAAATGAGTCTGCAAAACATCCTCTTACACCATAACCCAGAAAAACACTCTTCCCATCATAAAATGACACTGCAATGATGTAAGTCATTTTCCAACGCTACACTATCCTAACTGAGAGAGACTTCAAGTAAGTTGTTGGCAAAGTCATCTAAACCTCAGGGAGCACAAATCAGCATTCACAGAGAAGTTCTCCCACTGGATTAGCACAATTCAGAGACTGTGTCCAGCTTCTGAATGGCACATTTGCTCCAGAAATGTTACTTATATGTCACAATGTCATGCTTGTGCTGCACTGTGACCGGCACTTACCATCGCTGCTCCCTCTGAGCACTACATCTGGAGACGGTGTCTGCTGTGAGCGGGAGCCAAAGGAGTCCAGACTGTCAAAGGAATCATCTCTGCCGTGGCGAGGTGGAGAGAGGGAATCGCTGCGTTCAGAGTCCCAGCAGTCTATATAGCCGCTGTCACGAATGCTGCGCTTTGGACTCTCAATATCCTCTGTCTCCTACATGGAAGTACAGCAGGTAGCTTTTCGTAAAGAAGCCACTGACATACCCGTGAGATCCATTACACATCAGACAACAAGGCATCTTCCCAAATACTAAAAACCTCCTTCCCAAAAAAGGGTTTCCTTGTTTTCTACTCTTTCTCCCCTTCAAAACAAAAGTGCAATCTTGCAATAAACCCCGATTTTAAGCTGATTAAGAGGAAACCCAGCTCATTAGATTAGCATGATGAACTGAGAAAAAGTTGCAATAGACAAGTTAATAAACTGATCAAAACTGAAAGTAACCTGAAACTTGACTTGTAGTCCATAGTCCATAGCACAGGCAAAGACACTACAATTTTAACGTCATTTCTGCATCAGATTTAAGTCTGCTGCTTTCCAAAAGATCCCCCCCCTTCCCTTGCCCATCTATGGTATCTGGCTGGGACACCAGCAGACAGCATTTGTTGTTGCTGCTTCAGCTCAGCAAAATAATGAAGCAGTGTGCCCCAGCCTCCCTCTACCTTGAAGAGAAATTCCTGTTATGAAAGAGGGATGTCTTTCTGAAGCAATCAGCAATGAAAAATATGCAAAATGCTTTTCCTGATGCCTCAGAAGAATTCAGTTGTGCTCTTTACTCTTTGCCAGCTCCTGGCTCTGGGGGATATGAAAGCACTTGTAGCTGACCCACATGTTCAGAGCAGGGAGAACAATGGTTGTCTTTGACAGCCCTGTGATTATAAATTCTTTCCAGTGCAAGCAGCACATACTAAAACACTGAAACTCCAGCAGAGGAAAAGGTCAATAGAAGCCATCCTCACCCTTGCATTATAATAAATCCCTTGTTTTAGAGAGCGTCTTAACATTAATTACAATCGCACAGGCTGAGAAAAAACAAAGCTAACTACTTTTATGCAAAGATAAATCTGTTTTTTTCTCCCCCAACAGTAAGTAAAGTCAGAGATGTGGGTGCCATTATCAGACTGACATTCTGCAACCCAAAGAGGATGGAATGTGATTTTTTTCTTTTTCTTTTTTTTCTTTTTCCCAGAAATATTTGAATATTAATTTCTAATTAAGAAGCACCCCCTGCTTACCACCAGCTGCAGCATAATGGCTATGTTGGACACAGCTCCCACGGTCCTTGACTGCTAAGGTTTTATCCGTTGCTACTACTGCCAATGAGAAGATCAATCAAGAACATCCAGTATGCTATGGCAAGCCACCTCCACAAGAAAGTGGGTTTGCTGTAGAAGTGATAGAGGAGAGCCCTGCTGTAACACACTAAAGCCTCTGCACTGGAGAAGAGGGAGGCTGAAAGCGAGTCAGAGAGATCAGACCCAACGTCCTGCAGACTTTTCAGGAAGAAGGCTTAATTAGTGCCACTCACTATTACGCTGCCAAAATACCACATTAAAGGCAGCAGCAAAGGTCCCCTAAGGCCAAGTTCAATCGTGGTAATGTCAGTAAGTAACTTCACTGCAAATTGAAGTGAAAGCATTTTCTAAAAACAAATAAAATTAATCTAACAAAGTCATAATTGGATCCTATGTAATTTCCTTCCCCAGTCCTGCTTAGTAAATAAAATGCTGATAGGAACACTAGGCAACAAAGATCTGTCTCCCTGAAATCTGCATGAGTTACACACATCTAAGAACAAATCTAAAAATACTATCAAAATCCTGTTTTTGACACGACCCAAAAATAGTTTTAAAAATCCAAATTCCCTAAATCCCCTCATCTCTTCATACCGATCAGCTATTCTCAATCCTCAGGCACACTTCCTTTCCATTTTCCTAAATTACTGTATTTGAATGACACAGAATTGCTCAGCAGCTACAAGACTTAAACTCGGGCAAAAAGCCCCATCCTACATTCGCTATCTCCCAGAGTTTGAAAACAATCCAATTGTGAACTAGTGAGTTCTGCAGACCCTACTTCCAAAGGCCCGTTGATGTTAATCTTGCATGCCGCTCACCAGGAATTAGGAGGCAGGCACCAGGACAGGATCCTAGACTTCCGTAAATATGTTCTTTACAGCCTTCCTCTTGGCAAAGCTATACTGCCAGCCCAGTGCCGTCTCACAGACGGGTACTTGTCCTGCTCTGAGCAAATGTTATCTCCCAAATGTTACCAATGGGAAAAAAAAAGTGGTTATCTGCAGGACTGATAACACCGTAACACAACACACAACAGCACATTAGTCTTTCATATGATCTAATTAAAAACACAGTATGTCACTGAGTGGTAGTAAAAGTGTGATTGCCAAATACAAGATGCATTTCTCCAGGAAGTTTCACCCACTAAATGTAATCAAAAAACCATGGACGTTTTGTCATTGGGAATTTCTAGTTTAAAGTAAAGGAGAATGCATATCCAAATAGTTAATGAAATTAAAAACAGAGTAGCATGAATAAAATGAGAAATTAATAGCCTTTTCAGTATGAGAAGTAGAAAAAGATGAATCCAAGACAACTTACATCTGAGCTGTCTTTTGATTTGCTTATTAAAAAAGGAGGGCAGAGAGGATTTATAACAAAAAGCTAAACCAGTCTGAATTTATGGTTGATCTAATTATTAAATTCAGTGGAAAAAAATGCCAGTAAAGAATGTGATAAAGTGTCTTTTCATCACTCAAGTTCATCTACAAAGAACATCAGAATGTTGCACAGCATGATTAACATGTTCTATTTTACAACCAAATCCTCTTCAAATCCAGTAACAGACAAGCCCACAATTGCCAGTGGGAAATACTGCAGGGGTACAGGAGTAGGGAGGTGACCTCAACATAAGATGCCAGTGGCCCTTGTAACAGTACCACTTAACCGAGACTTTTTAGGACTGCAAAGTGCTTTGTTTCTACATTAAAGGAATATATAGCTTCCAGCTTTTATGAGATCTCTACTCTGCTCTCAGCTCCAACATCTGCAAGGAATCAAGTCCCAGCCTCTTGCTTTTGTCCTCGACCTGCAGTTCTCTGCACTGCCCAGCCAGTCGCTCCACAATCATCAGCTCCCCGGAGAACGCTGCCTTTTGGCCCCAGCCTACCTCATCCCACAAAGGGGCTCAGATGGGACCTCCAAAATGCTCTGATGACTAGTTTGATGAGTAAACATCACCTGGAAAAAGAGGAGCCTCATGCTGTGAGATTAAACATCAAAAAATAAACCATGATACCAAGTGTCACTAACATTATAACAACCTGCACTTTGGCAATTTTTATGCGTTAGCTCCTTTGTCCATCTTTATTTCACCTTTCAGACTCTTCGGAGTTGGGACTGCTCCTTCCCTGTATCTTCTGTTTAGAAACAACTCAAGTATTAACTTCATTTCTTTATTGCTTGGTCTCAGTCATATCACTCACGAGTGGCAAAGTCCCGAGTGATTAGTGCAGGTCATTTCAAATGAAGATCAAAGTAAACCTCTACAGAGCAGCAGGATGTTCTCTTTTCTTCTCCATTTCCACTTGCTTGTACACAGGAACTGGGCTCACAAACAGGGATTTTACCCGTCAAGTTAAGGCTCTCTGGTCACACTAGTGTGTAGCAACTGCTGTCAGTCAGCCAAGAATTTCTTCCTCTCCAGTGGCAGTCTGGTGCTGGCCCTCTGAGATACCCGAATAAAGAGCTGCAGCTGGTGCAGATGCAGTAAAACACAGCTCAAGGAGAGTAACGAGCAAAGAGCCTCCCATGGTCCCCAAACCCTACTGCCTGTGGTGACTTGGCCGTTACATGAGATGGAGTAGCAGGCACAAAGCTCTCTGTGGGCTGGAGCACATATCTGCATGACCTTTCCCGAGCAGTACGTTTAACACACGCAATGCTAGCACTGGATGCTGCCATCTTACATACCTGCTGCTTGCCCCTTCCATCCCCAGTAAATGCATGCTTGGATATCAATGCTAACCATTACTGAGGTTAAGTGTCCCATGTCAAGGTTTAGGACATGCTGGAGTGCTCAAAAAAGTCCCCAAACCACCCTACAGCAATCACAACTTTTCCTTTCTCACAGAGCTCAGCTCATCATAAACCACAAAATATGATTTCAGCCAGAATTTAGAGCTTGGCAAAACACAGATTTGTCATAACTACACCCTTGGTGAAACATAATCTCCCCCTTCTACCCTTCAGCTTTATTTAAATACTTTGGTTTGATGCTTTATGCTGCAACTTAAAAACAAAAGAGCTGCTCATGAGACTGAATGTTAAGTAATCTGGACACCCATAAATCCA